GAGAGAGAGAGAGAGTAGTGGGGCCATCCATATTATTTAAGAATGATGCCCCACCATCAGAGCATAGCGGTTTGTGAATGGGAAATGTGCATCATCTTCAGCCCCTTCATTTCTGGAAATCATCTACCTAATGATGCCTTTGATTACATTCCAAATCCGTGTACGTGATGACTTAAGATCTTTTGAAAAGAAATGAAAACATGAGTTGTTTTGACACAAACTAGTTTCTGTGGTGTAAGGTGAAGCCTGACCAGTTGAAAGTGTCACCGGCTCAATTTAGCAACGCGAGCAAACTCTGTTTTCTTTGTTTTGCGGTGTGTGTATGGGTGGTGCTACTGTGCTAATTGTTTGCATGTTCTTATACATACAAGTTTGAGACCTCTCATCTTGTCCCATTTTCAACTGATATTGTCTTTTTTTGCCTTCTGCTTAAGGTAGCATGTATATATTCTCTTTAATTATCTGTAGTTACTCTCATATATTAACTTTCATCTTGTTGTCTCTCATTACTCTTTTGTAACTCTTTTTTAACATTGTTTCTCTTGCCCAAACTCCATGTAGTTTGCACTTTGTCATACTTGCTTTAATCATTTGCAAATTGCTGTCATGTATGACACATCTGGTTTAAGCTTGTATTGTTTTGGTTTTGATCTTTCTTACCTTTCATCACTAGAGCCATCATGGTTAATCCTATTTGGTTATTCATATATCCTTTTTATATGTAGATTTGTAGTTCATGTGATGGTCTTATTAGTATGTTATTTTCTTGCAATGTTTGAAATTTATGCTGCATTTTTCAGGAGAGTGATGCATACCTTCGAGTTTATCTTTGCTGCCACAAAAGAAGCAATATATGTACATGTTATTGTCTCTGCAAAGTTAGTACATTTAGAATTTTCATTTTATTTCATGACTGATGGTCTGTATAATTTCTATCATTTAATCATTTTAATCAATCCTGTTGAAGGAATAATATCATAATGTTCATTGTGTTTCTTCTCTGATTTGTGTCTAGACGAACTCGGATGCTTTCTGGATACGACATGGAAGTGGTGCTTAGGCATAACTCTTCTAGTAAATTTGGAGGACTTCCAGGTAAGACTTGGTCTGAAGCCAGCTGATATAGTTCCAACATCCCAATTACAATCTTTGGAAATAAACAAATTGTCCTCCTCTGCCACCATAATTGCTCTCTACTGATTTATGGATCTCCAGATTTGAGTAATTTTACTGAGGTTATATGCTGCGTGAGTCCGCTAAAATCGTGCGTGGATTGTGCATTGGGGATTCTGTTCATTCTGCCTGCACCTTTGCCAATATTTTTGCACAATCCTTCACTTGGCCACTGAAGCCCTGATGCTCTCCCCTTGCTTTGCTCTTTTCTTGTAGGCTGTGGTTAGTTGATTAGATGTATGATCCAGTTTAACATGGCATGTTTCCTTTGTTAAATGATAAGGGTGTGTTTGTTTCATGTGAAACAGTTTGGTCGTGTAAAACTAGTTACATATGCAAACAGTTTATAATAAAGAGTTCTGCAAACCTGTTTTCTCAAACTCATATGAGAAACACTGCATAATCAATTTCATATGTTTGGTACCGTGTTTGGAAAATTATATCCTGGAAACCTTCAATTTCCAATCAATTTCTCGCTTCATGACTCAATATGCTTCATTTGATCAGTAATGTAATGTCCTTGTCTATCACAACTTAGGCAATTTGCAACATTTGTGTAATTCGTAATAATATTGCTTAAGATACTAAGAAGATTTTCACGGGATTATTAAGCAATCTAAAAATATATGTAATCTTTTAGTTTTGAATTAAGTCTAGGGCTTTAATAACTATTCAATTTAGTATGCTATCCTTTGCAATGGGAGGTCTGTTTTCAGGCATAACTATTAGAATCCAAGAGAACATTTCTTTCATCCATTCTAACAAACATTTGTATGGCATGGGTTAGGTTTCCACAGTTGTTTACCCCATTATGAACATAACCGTAACATTCCAAGAAACAATATTTTTTTTTCAAGCATTCTATTGAACACATTTCATGGCTCTTTCAAGATTAGAAATAATTGAACTGATGTGGCTATTTGGAGTTAGAGTTGAATGCCAGCTCTTCTACCTGCCCATTTGTTTGATGACAATAAACGAGACAATCACTTGTATAGCCGTAACAAAGGAATAAAAAAAAAAAAGGAAGCAAAGAAAGAGAGGGCCAGCAATAATACACAGATCCCACGCTTCAATGGTGATTACTTTTTCACATCACAATAAAGAGAGAACGCTCACGATCCTCCATTCCCTTTTCTCGTTCTTCTTTGCATTCATCAAAACACACACAAAAAAAGCCACAATATCTGTTCTTGGATCCAAAACAAAACCTTAATTCATCAAAATTTTTGTCAAAAATCAAAGAAACCCATAAACCTGTCAATGAAAAACCCTTAATTTCACAAAACGTTAACTCGTGGGTTCTAATCTTACCCAAAAACCTACTTCCCCAAAGTCAACGAAAACCCTAATTTCACAAATGTTGATTCATTAGTCCAAGTATTAATGTGAATTTCTGCATGAACTAATAAGGATAAGGGGATCTCCACCATGACAGAGAATGATGTGACGAATAGGTTGGTTGTGTGTGTGAGAGAGAGAGAGAGAGAGAGAGAGAGAGAGAGAGAGAGGTAGGTTAGTT